TTTACTTCACTGTGATATCTCTATCAAGATCTGATTAATCGTTCATCGGAAGTTATGCAAGGTGAACTTTCTAATTAGCCAATTATAATAGGGGTTTCTTAATTCTCGGTACAATCGAGCGAGGGAGCATATATAATTTCTGTAACCCCCAAACAGAACGTCAACAGGCAGTTCCAAATGAAAAAAACAATAGGGACCCCCCTTCCCCCGAAATGTTTGTGTTTGTCATTTCTGAGCACATGTATGTACATGTATGTACCTCAAAGGATGTGCTAATGAACATTGGTGTTTTGAGGGGGGTTTCGGGGACAGAGGTGGAAAAGAGTTTTGCCGAGCAGATACTGCAACTGACAACAAATCCTAATATATGTAAGAACAACAAAAGTAATAAGATAACAAAAGGTGGAAACAAGGCAAGCCAACAGATAATTGACTCTGCTAGGTGATTAGCAAAAGACAATGGAAGCCAACACTTTAAGTAATTAAGGCTGATAGTTATGGACAACTGGAAGCCAGGACTTAAATTATCACTAATTGGTAAATGGCAATGGACAATGGGCAAACGGGAGGCCGGGGGTAATTAGCACCGAGAGTTAAGGAATGGAAATAGCAACGGGCAAATGGAAGCGAGCAAGATAATTAGCAACGACAAAGATCAAAGCAATAAGTTCCAAGCACTAGGCAGATATAAACCCTAGTCAGGTCCATGGTTGGCTGGTGTCTCCTGGTGTCTCCTGGTGTCTCCTGGTGTAAATGGCTTCTTGTAGTTTTCTTTGTCCTCAGTTGTTGTTGTTGTGGCAGACAGGACTTTGGTGGCTTCCCACGTGATGTTATGGTCTTGGTTCTTGAGGATGTGTTTGGAAATAGCGGAGTTCAGGTCTAGTTTGTTGACAGAAGTCTGATGTCCTTTGAGTCTGGTGTTTAGGGGTCTGAGGGTTTCTCCAATGTACTGGTGGCCACAGTTGCAGGGAATCTGGTATATACATCCCGGGGGGTTGGGACTCGCGCTGCTTGTGCCTCTCCCATTGGTTTGTAGATAGGTCTTGATGGACTTTTCTGCTAGAAAAGGTGACAACTGTGTTGGCTTTCTTCTTGATGAGGCGGGAAATCTGATGAGTGACAGGGCCTTGGTAGGGTATGGTCATGCTGATGGGCTGTGGGGCAGGTTTGGGTCTGGGATCGGAGTTCATCAGGGTGGCAAATGGATTTGGCACGTCGGATGAGGGTGGCGATGATGGCTTGTTTCATCTGGAGATGGTGGCAGGAGTTGTACTTGATGTACTGGTCTGTGTGTGTGTGAAGTGGGGGGGGGGGGGGGGGGGCGACTAGCAATGGAAGGCGTTGATTGGTTTGGGTCTCCATGGTGAACTGGGTTCTCTGGTGCTTGGCTTGGAGATGTGTTAGGAGCTCTGTGGGGTCGTTCTGGTGGGCTATAGTCGTGAATATGTAGTCTAGTTGCCGAAACCAGAATGTTCGATGCTTATGATGTCAATCACTGGATTGTCTGGTCCAGACTTGATAATTTACAGATTGCCGTCCAAAAGCTGGAGTATTGTTTAGTGCGGCGTCAAACAAACAAGCAAACAATAAAAGATTATTACACTTGTTTGTTGCAAAAGTAAAATATGATATTTACGATACAGTCTCTATTTACAGACCGCCTAGATATCCCCACTCATCCACCCACAGACTTTTCGGATTAGATTATCCCCACAATATTATATTCTGAGGATGAAATGGTTGGTTCACAACATGGACGCAGTACACCGACAGTGGCCCGACAGTAGCCCAACAGTGCCCCGACAGTGCCCCGACAGTAGCCCGACAGTAGCCCGACAGTGCCCCGACAGTAGCATGACAGTGCCCCGACAGTAGCCCAACAGTAGCCCGACAGTGCCCCGACAGTAGCGTGACAGTGCCCCGACAGTAGCATGACAGTAGCCCGACAGTAGCCCGACAGTGCCCCGACAGTAGCCCGACAGTAGCCCCACAGTAGCCCCACAGTGGCCCGACAGTGCACCGACAGTGGCCCGACAGTGCACCGACAGTGGCCCGACAGTAGCCCGACAGTGGCCCGACAGTAGCCCGACAGTAGCATGACAGTGCACCGACAGTGGCCCGACAGTAGCCCGACAGTGCACCGACAGTGCACCGACAGTGGCCCGACAGTGGCCCGACAGTGCCCCGACAGTGCACCGACAGTGGCCCGACAGTAGCCCGACAGTAGCACGACAGTGCCCCGACAGTAGCATGACAGTGCACCGACAGTGCCCCATTGCTGACATCTACATATGTTAGGGGTTCACGGCTAGAATATGTTCCCACCAAATTATGCTGGTAGTAAGAGGCAACTGGTTTGGTTTGGTTTATTCAGCAATGTTCCAGCTATATGACGGCAGTCTGTAAATAATCAGGTCTGGACCAGACAATCCAGTGATTGGTATCATGAGCATCGATCCATGCAATTGGGATTGATGACATGCTTCAACCAAGTCAGCGAGCCTGACCATCCGATTCGGTTAGTTGCCTCTTACGACAAGCATAGTCACCTTTTATGGCAGGCATGGGTTGCTGATGACCTATTCTACCCCGGATCTTCATGGGTAAAGTGGCAACTGAAAAGCTGTGCTTGTCAGACTCTGATCTTTGTTGATTGTGGGTGGTCGGGTAGCCTTGTGGTTAAAGTGTTTGCTCGTCACGCCCAAGACCCAGGTTTGATTACCGACATAGGTACAATGTGTGAAGCCCATTTCTAGTGTCCCCTGCCGTTGTATTGTTGGAATATTGCTAAAAGCGGCGTAAAACCATACTGACTCACTCACTTTGTTGATTGCATGTCGTACATGGATCGGTGTTCGTAATATCAATCACTGGATTGTCTGCTCCACATTTTTATGAATGGTGACTAGGATCGGATGGTCAGGCTCACTTACTTGGTTGATGCTTGTCATCGTATCTCAATTGCATGGACCGATGCTCATGATGTCAATCACTGGATTGTCTGGTCCAGACTTGATTAATCACAGACTGCCGTCATAAAGCTGGAATATTGCTGAGTGCGGCGTTAAACAACAAACAAACAAACAAAACTAATGGTTGTCATATACCCAGAGTATACCTTAGTGTAGCGTTTTTGAAATAAAAATGTAAATTACCACTTTCATGACACAAGAAGACACCAAGCAAATGTTCTGATATGTTTATTATTTCATTCTCCCAGTTGTTGCTGGCTGAGACTGATCTCTCCATGACCAGGTCACAGAGCGTACAAAAGCAGTTGAACACCACACCCAGAACCCAACCTCGGGTTGCCATGACAACCGAGGCAGAGGCCAGGTAGGAGAGAGTGATGATGACATGATGATATATTGATGCTGAGCCTCAAGCATGATCCTGTCCAAACATTTATAGACCTTACAAAAGTTTTAATGGTATGAGAGGGATCTCTACAATATATTTAAGAACCTTCAAAAAATATCTTAATGCCCTCAACTGAATCTCTCTAAACATTTATGAACATAAAAAAGATTGGATCCCAAAACAGAATTTTAAAAAATCATAACCTTTTTAACATTAAACGAGGAGGCTTGAATTAAATTATTATTAATTTCCTAGCCCTATGACTATTTATGTTTTAGTGATTGGAAGATGAAATGTACAGTTATTTTACTGGTGGTTACATACTATTTTTTGTGGTGTTATTCCCTGATTAATTAATTTATTAATGGATAAAAGTAAGTTAAATTTTGATCCATGTATTACTGGGTAGAGAATTTACAAGTTCCATATAGTCTTAAAATCCTTATAGGTAATTAAAGCAATACCATTAATCAAATACCATTAATAATACCATAAAACCAACCGAACAAATTATGAAAACGAACAAATGTATCAAAATTAGAATCACGGACATCAAAATTTAAACATAATATTTGAAAACTTTGTATATTCCATACTTAATCAGATTTCATACAAACATATTGTGAATTCTTAATTATGATTATGAAATGGAACGATAACAAAATGTATCTGCAGTAGGATCAGTTGTAATTAAGATTTTTTAAAATTCATTTAAGGGACTGACCACTTCCTGTTTGAAAAGATATCTGCAAAATACAGCAAAAAAATCATTTTGACACAGGTATTATAACAACATGATATTGTTATACGAAAAAAAATACGAAAATGTTTTTTAGGTGCCCCTTGCAGAGAGGACAAGAAATGACCCATCTCCAGCAGCGCAAGTGTGATAGCTGAGGCTCAGCCAGCAGGAAGAGGATGAATTCGTGCCCACACAAAAAGTTAGCAAAAGTACATAGTACACAAAGTCAACTCAGAAGCATTGGTTTGTAACTTGTATAAAAATTACAAGTTCATAAACATGTACAAATTTTATCATAATAAATTATTGGTCGCTCATGCACATGCACAGGCTGCTAAGGCGTCAGGGTCACTGAAAATAATGATTACTTTGAACATCGGGCTCACTAATGCTTTTTTGTGACTTATTGAAACATTTCATTGTAAGGCCATATAAAAAACATGTTTGTAATCACCCCCCCCCTCATGCTAAAATGTACGCCAACCCTAATTTCTGCTTGATATCTGGTTATGTATATTCCATGTTCCAATCCTACTTTTCATTGTATCAAAATGGTAGGAGTTATGTCCCTTGAAGAGTTTCATCAAACTGCTGAAAGTCTGGAGGTTTTCAAAAGTTGTAAGACAAAAATTTCAAGAAAAATGTAATGCGAGTCAATTCACTAACAATGACACAACCTTATGTTCAATTATTAATTCTGAAAATTCTTCATTGTTTCATTAAAGTCATTTCTTGAGCTTTACAGTTTCTAGGACTTTTCTTTTGTTTCCCCCTCATAAATCCCTGACACAACAGATCCCACATGCAACAATAAACAGTGCCGTAGCCAGCTGGGGGGTCAGGGGGGACAATTCCCCCCCCCCCCCCCCCCCCCCCCTTGATTTTTTATAGAAAACAGTTTTATTTGAATGAAGTTGGGGACAAGTGATACTTGTACAAATATTTGCCCCCCCTGTCAAAAAAAGTTAACTACGGCCTTGATATACCAAGGTCATTCTCACCAAATAAATTTTGTTTCACTTTCATATAGGGCAAGAAGGTTATTCTGGGTTTTTTGCATGCATATAACAAAATATGCATTTGATTGCACTACTTAATCAAATGTTTCATGTTCACCCTCACAATACATAAGTTGTTTCTATGGAAACCAGTGGCAGAAATGTACAATTTCTTCTCGAAACTGCTGTCATAGTTAAGGCGCAGCCTATCAAAACAACTAAATTATCTCAGCAACAGACAAAATTCCTGTCAAGACTCTTCAAAGAGAAAATATTTCACCCAACACGAAGAATGAGATACCATACAATGCAATTTCTTTTCATATCAATATTTAAATCTGAAAAGTGTTGAGATGAAACACTGTCAATCGTTTTTTCCAACAGTTCAGATTCTTAAGGGTTGAAACTTCATGAACATCGGAAAAAAGTATGGTTGATGTCAAATAAATAGATGCTTCTTTGGTCAAGAACAGTTCAACACTTTAAAGTACTGCCAGACAGTCGGAGACGGAAGTTGCCCATCGTTGACCATCATGTACTGAGTTGCAACAGAATAATTAAACATAAGAACACTGCATGGTGATTTCGAAACATTTTCAAAGAGCCTTCAAAGCTATTAAGTCTCTTTCTATGTATACACAATTCACATTTCTTTCTAAAATTATTCAACATTATTTTCTGTACATTATATTCAAAATAAAACTTTCAAATACAGTTTCATGCTTAATCAACACTAGAGAAAAATGTATATGTTTGAGGTAATTTTCACTTTGTTCATATGGCATAAATAATAGATTAATACGAGGGGTAAAAGATGATGACAATGAATTGCAGTCATAAAAATGTAATAAAAACTATTTGAAAAAATCACAATAATTATTTGTTGACCTTGTAAAAATACAAAGGTATCAATGCAACTAAAACCGCATAGTAATTTTGACCATTAGTACAAAGTATATGAATATTCACACTTTGCATCTTAAAATAATCACTTTCCAAATACTGTATTCGACGTAATAAGCGCCCTGCTCTAATAAAGGCCCACGACGAAATTTGCTAATATATTGGCAAGTGAACAATCCCAATCAGCACCCCTTCAAATTGATCAACGTATACAAGACTTATTCATTCATGTATTATACACACTTGTGTGTTATATGCACTCTTAATTATGGGATATTAAATTCAGGAAATATATATTTGTTGTGTATAATACGCACAGACTTTCCTTTGTATCATTAAGGCTGTCAGCATAAACAACAACATTTATGATCTTTCAGCTCTTTTTTTCCCACCAAAATTATATTCTAATACAAGCCCCATATTTCTAATTTTGAGAGTGCCCTGGGCGCTTATTCAGTCGAATGCAGAACTTGCATAAACAACAACAAAATGGACTTTAAAGTGAAGACAACAATGATATCAGCACAGCAACTATTTCTGCTACAGGCAGGCTTCATGGTCATGTAGCTTTAAATGTTCAATACACATAGAGAACCTTATGTACAAGTCATGATGCAGGAAAGCAATTTCATACAAAATGGGTGTGCCTTACGTACTTTGGCATTGGACAAAACACAAGGGCTGTGGTGGAAGATCGTTAGTCAACTATAAGTAAACACAAGCTGACAAATATTTATTTGGTTTTGGCCCTCTACTTCTAGATATTGATACAAAGGTGAAGGGTGCTTCATCTTAACAGCGGAGCGGTCCAGAGGGAGGCTCGTGACTTATTCAGGTCGGTTCAAACGGACGCTGGGTCTTACTTGTCAGGTCAAAATGTCTTTTTTTGAGAACTTTGTATTTTGACCCCGTTATTCTTTTTCTATAAAACTTGATATTTGGGGTTGAAATCAATTTGTCATACTTCAGCTTCAAGTAAGTCAATGGTTCAATTACCTAATTATTGTGGGATGTAAATACCTGTCCACCCTCAATAATAATGTTCTGATCCAGTATGCATAATGAACCTCATGAATATTCATGTTCCAACCCTTGAACGGCTTCGCTGTTGTACCGACCTATGTTTGGAATATCTCTGTCCAAGCTATTGACAACCATATTTCTTTAAAGTGTTCGAGTTGTCATAACATTGCGTAGTTTGTTCATTTATATCTAAAAATTCTCCAATTACATATTTAAAGCACTAAACCTTTTTTCCTGGATAAATTCTCCATTTTATGATTATTTCAATAGTGTCTTTTTTGCGAAAAAAAATATTTCTTGCCTACAATAGTACTTTCCTTCAAACTTTGGCGATATATTATTATTTCGCTAATTCAAAATGAGGGAAATATGACTTTAGTCCCTAATAGGCCAACCCAATTAAAGTTCTTGTTCAAACAGTTAGAATATAATACCTTAGAACACATGTATCTAGAAAAGCACATATTCCCGTGGATATATTTTTTACTTTATTGAGAAACTCAAACATTCCAAAGAAATATGGTATTTTTCATGACTTGAAAGAAATTCAGCAGTTGATCATATATTGCTCAGCTAGTTGGCCAGCACTTCTAAAACATGTACAAAGTGTTTGTTCATAAGGCAGTTGCTGTTGTTCCAAGTCTTCAACTGACAGACATTCTGGGTAGTTGTGACACAAATAGCACCACTGTCTTCTCTCAGAATTATCTCCCTTTGCTAATACTGCAGACGTGACATTTTCCACTACAGCTTGACAGAACTTCACAACCAAACAGGCAGCGACACGACAATGGAAATGTGTTACAAAGCAAAGGGAGATAACTGGATCAACTACGTCAGAAAATCGGCCAATAATCTTTGCTTGTGAATGTAATCCCTTTGCTGTGAAAAGTCAACTTCAAACCTCACTGTATTAGTGTTCCATTCCCACACAGTCCACACGCAGAAATCTTTTCTTGAGCCCTTCAGCAGAAATGACTTATGAAATTTTGAAGAAATATCTTCGTCTCTGCTCTGGAGTCCATATCGTATAACAAGTTGTCCGGCGAGTAGTACACGTATGCCGTGTACTATAAATGCTGTCGTCATAGTAACCTGACTACACATCCAATAGAAAGCCACTGCTGGGGCTGTGTCCTCTCACAGTAGTATTGTCATATAAATACATATATATAACAATATCAACACGCTCTAGTGGCCCACCCATCGTTGTTAGCATTCAAACTCCTGTTGTGTAATGGCATTCAGATCTTTCATCAGGCCTTCCAAGTTTGCCATCTCCGCCGTCAGCTCCTCCGTACTCAGAGATTTCTGGAAGAGAAGACATGAGTTAACAAAACACTTCAGTCTCATTAAATAGAAAGGCACACCGATGTTCAATTCCCCACGTGGGTACAATGTGTGAAGCCTATTTCTGGTCTCCGCTGATATTGCTGGAATACTGCTAAAAGTGGCTTCAAACCATTCTCTCTCTCTCTCTCTCTCTCTCTTTCTGCCAACCTTTTCAGTTTTTAAACAGAAATAACCAGTGTCTTGAGAGTAAAAGTTCAGCTAACAAGCTCCTTTGGTAGAGAAAAATGTGTTGTCACTTTATTATGTGTCATGCATAGCATAGCATGCACAGCATTGTGTTGCAATTTCATTGTAGCAGTTTCTCGTCAGACATATTGTCTGATCTTATCCACGTGCTATCTTCTTTGGATGCTAGTTTTGGATGACTAAATAAGATATTTTACTCCGATACCCCAACCCCCCACACACCCATACAAGATTGTGTCTGGAACTTTCTATTTAGACAATATGCATTGAAGATTCTTGGTATGAGTCAGAGAGCATTCAGACAAACATACTTGATTTCTGTATCTTTGAAAATGAATTTAAACATCCAATTCTGAATGTAACTAATAAAAGGCCTTGTTATAATGTTATTCAAGATATTGGATATTTAGTGCCAACCAACTGCACCCAATTAATATAACTTATACCTTGATTATTTTAAGAAAGACATCATAAGAAAAAAAAGATTATTACCCATGTGTTAATGAGATAGTCTAGAAAGTCTTTCATAACACAATTCATATCTCTTCTCTAAACAGTTTCATTTTCAATAGAGCTGGCTAGACTTGCTTTGTTATAATCTAGATTGGTTTGGGTTTAACACCGCTTTTAGTATTCCAGTTATTTCACGGCATGTCAGCTTAAAGTGGAGGAAAGCCCGAATTGATGCAGGTCTCAGACGTTTACCACTCTGGTGAAACCTGTTTGGGTTGAAACAACATAATTAGGAATAATAAATTTGTTGTTATCATTCACCTCAGTTCTCCTACAAACATACTTGATTTCTGTATCGTTGAAAATGAATTTAAACATCCAATTCTGAATGTAACTAATAAAAGACCTTGTTATAATGTTATTCTAGATATTGGATATTTAGTTCTCCTCAGTTCTCCTACCTCCATGCCATTGTCTTCTTTTCCCGATTTCCCCGCTTTGAGCGTCACGTCCGGTGCTTTGGAGGTGATCAGTGGGAGAGGTGACCGAGACTTGATGGGTCCGGTCGTGATAGGCGGAGTGGGCTTCTTGTAAGGACTAAGGTTAGGCTGTGGTTTAACTGTAAGGAAATACACCTCGGTTATGATTCCTTCAAGAATTGTCTTATAGTAAGGCTAAACATTCTTGTTTCTAAGGCACTGTACACTACAAATCAGAAACATACCGTATTCGACTTAATAAGCACCCCGTTCTAATAAGCGCCCACTGCGATATTGGCAAGTGAACAATCCCAATTAGCCCCCTTTCCGATTGATCAATGTACACAAGACTTATTTATTCGTGAATAATATGCACTCGTGTGTTATATGCACCCTTAATTATGGGCAATTAAATTCTGGAAATATATATCTGTCATATATAAACATTTCAGGGTGTCAGCATAAACCAAGAAATTTACGATCTTTCAACTGTTATTTTCACCAAAATAATATTCTAATAAGAGCCCCCTATTTCTAGTTTTGAGAGCGCCCTAGGCGCTTATTACGTCAGGATGGTAAATTAAAAAATGTCTTTTGATAAAAGCATATTATTCTACATTAAGCAACATGGCCCCTTTCCACAAAGCTATCTTATCTACTAATTTGGTAGGTCTATGTTAAAATATGGGAGTGATGATGGTATTAGCGATAAGGCCAGACGCTTTTTGAAAACTTGATTGACTAATCCATGACTCCCAAACATTGAAATGTACAACAAATAAAATAATGAAAAGCAGGTTTTTTTATTCCACCTACAAAAAGATGAATAAAATGTTAAAAAACAAACTCATTTACTGTAGCCATCATTACAAATGAAATATCAAAAATACTATGATTAAAACCTGTTGAAAATTTATCAGAAACCAATGAAACCAAAAGAAATCAAAACCAATTTTGAAATGGAATTCTGTTTTAGTTTTTTTTAGGCTACAAATGTGTAACCCCACCCCAAGATTTTTGGTTTGGTTTGTTGTTTTATGCCGCACGCAGCTATATTCCAGCTAAATGACCGCGGTCTGTAAATAATCGAGTCTGGACCCGACAATCCAGTGATTGACATCATGAACATTGATCCAAGCAATTGGGATTGATGACATGCATCAACCAAGTCAGCGAGTCTGACCACTTGATCCTGTTAGTCGCCTCTTACGACAAGCATAGTCGCCTTTTACAGCAAGAATGGGTTGCTGAAGACCTATTCTACCCCGGATCTTCACGGGTCCCCCACCCACAAAAGTCTGTCTGAAGATCAGTTTGTGGAAAAAGACCCTGGTGTTTTCACTCTAACAACCGACAAAGGGAGTGAGTGAATGAGAGAGTGAGTTTGGTTTTACGCCGCTTTTAGCAATATTCCAGCAATATCACGGCGGGGGACACCAGAAATGGGCTTCACGCATTGTACCAAGGTCGGGAATTGAACCCGGGTCTTCGGCGTGAGACAAAGGGAGTGAGTGAATGTTGTTTTATGCATCAGTCCGCAATATTCCAGCCACGCCATGCCAGCTTGTAAAGGACCAGGAATATCAGTGACTAACAAAATGAGTAGAATATGCTTTGTTTGTTTTGTTTGTTTGTTGTTTAACACTGCACTCAGCAATATTCCAGCTATATGATGGCGGTCTGTAAATAATCCAGTCTGGACCAGATAATCCAGTGATTGACGTCATGAACATCAATCCACACAAGTGGGATCAATGACATGCATCAACCAAGTCAGCGAGCCTGACCACCCGATCCCGTAAGTCGCCTCTTACGACAAGCATAGTCACCCTTTACGGCAGGCATGGCTTGCTGACGACATATTCTACCCCGGATCTTCACGGGTCAGTTTATTTTGTAGCAAAATTGAAGACATCCAGTGATTGACATCAGGATCATTCATGGAATTGGGATACGATGACATGCATCAGCCAAGTCGGCGAGCCTGACCATCCCTTTAGTTGTCTCTTACGACAAGCACAGTCGCCTTTCAGGGCAAGCATGGATTGCTGAAGACTTACCCCGGATCTTCACGGGTCGTCAGTGACAGGAATAGTAAAGCATAGTCGCCTTTTGCGGCAAGCATGAGTTGCTAAATCTTGCCGGATTTTCACGGGGGACCACCATCAGACACAGTGATGTGCCATCAGCAAAGTCACTGAGCCTGACTGACACCCAATCCACATTTATATCCACTGCCAAAGTGATCGCAACAAGACAACTATCCTTAGTCTATGTTAAAGTATAGGAGAGATCTAGTCGGTCACAACCCTAAACGATGACAACCAAGAGTCGTTTTTCCATGTGCTTGAAAACCAAACTTCCAACCATTTTTTCCCAGCAAGTTATCTCTTTTTACATATGGCATATAAACATTCACACATAATTTGAACAAAATTTAATTGGCTTCATATTATGGACCTTGCAGAGAGAGTGAGAAAAAGGTTCTTGTTCTATCCTGGGGCCTTGGGAATTTTGAGTCACAAAATATTTTCGTCCACTGCTTCAATTACTTTCTTCAGAAGGAAGAGCAAAACAAATCTTTTTTCACAAACAGCTGTTTCAGCCATCCAGCAATTTCCGTGAAAAATGTTTTGTTTGGAGACCCAAAAAATTCATTCTGTCTCTGGAACCAATTATTTTTAAATAAATTGCAAGGGATAAACCCCCCAAAAATTAATAAGGCCACGCCCACAAACAGATTACAGTTTCTTGATTGGCTCATAATAGAATTAGCTTTCTGGAATGAGAAATAAATTGTAAGAGTTTCTGTGGCATTTGATTGGCTAACCGAGCAATTTGTTTACGTTTCCATAAACCAAAAAACATTATGCCATGCCAACGGACTCCTGTTTCCTGATCAGCTGATGATATTATGGAAAGTGCTTTGGTTGCCCTACTGCACCGAACGATGTCACTGATGTCGGATAGTTGTTTACTGCTTTTTCGTGTTGACAAAATAAACAGCCGCTGAAGATTATCTTTAACATATTTATTTACACGAATTGACCTGATTATGTTTTTGTGTTTTAAGTGTTCTAAAATTAACAACTTAAAAAAAAAAAAATCCCAGTCCCCACCCACATCAAATGGTCGGTGCTCTCGTTGCTTGGCAACCCTGGAAGCTGAGTGTTCATTGACTCCTACCTATGTGTCTGGGTGGGGTAGCTCCTGGGGAAGGGGGGCCAGGGAGAGCAAAACTCCGCAGCGGGTTGGGGGTGCGCCCCAGTGAAACCTTCAAGGCCTCTGACGAGACCACCCCACTTGTCGACTCAGCGAATGTGTTTGCTTGCTGATCATATTGGGTTGGTGATTCAGGTGAGATAGGGCCTGGAATTAAGCATGATCACAGTTATCTCCCTTTGTCACATGATCTTTTTCAAATTTTCAAATATTTTCCGATGATGTTTGATTTTAGGTCTTGAATTGATTTGTCTTTTCTTTTCATCAAAACACGAACTTGTTAGAAACAAAGACAAATTCACTCGACAGATTTTGGAAGACGAGACTGTTCTCATGCATTTGGCGACTCTGGAGAATGGAAGGGGCGGGCGAGAGATGTTATAACTGGTTGGATGAGTCAGTACGATGTAGGGGTCACATGCAAATGAGTGGGGTCAAAGCCTTGAAGCTATGATTATACATGTCTAGAACACTCAGCTACCACACCGGTGCTAACCCAATTCACCAACACTCAATCTCATTAAAATCAGATCTTATTTCTCACTGCTGCTAAACAAAGATCTGAGAACATCCCATTACGGGTCACGTGAGACTGAACTTTGACCGACCAATGGAATGACTGACAAGAAGTCGACATTAGCCAATCAGAAGGCAGCTTTCTCGTGCTTTACGGCACTAATATCAAATTGGCGACTACGCTTCGAAACATATTTTGACAAATTCTCAATTAAAATTTTGGAACCTGAACAAAAGAACATTCTGGAATGGCTAATATATGGTCTAGATTGTATGGATTCAGTCGTATAGACAGTAACTATCGTTCGGAATACCCCATGTTAAAGTTTTTGAGGTTGCATGATTAGAAATCACATTCCAACTATCACTTTGATTGGTCGGATGAAAGGTTGTTCTGACTTGACCCCTTATGGGATGTCCTCAGATCTTTGTTCAGCAGTAGCGAGTACTAAGATCAGATTTTAATGACATTGCACCGACACTCAACAGACACAAGGGTCACGTGACTTGTGACAGACACGACTGAACACATGGAGACATTGAACGTCACTTCGGGACAAAGTTAATCACTTCTCACACAAGTCTACAGCACAATACTCAACCTTGGAACATGAAACTGCGGCGTTTCAATCATCGTCAAAACTTCACGGTCTGTATACCCCACATCCCTCGATCAACCAAGAATACATGGTCGCTTTGCAGTGTAGTAATGATGTGCATCTATTTTTAGTAAACATATACTGGTATTAGGCCGTTCTTAACTCATGGAAGGTCAATAGAGCCTTTTAAAGTAACCCCTTTGCACAGAGCCATATGGCTTTATGTGTTAAGATTTACCCATCCGCAATATTTCAGCCATATCGTCACCTCACAAGGCTATACGACCTGTGAAGATTCGGGGTAGAATAGATCTTCTGCAACCCATGCTTGCCGTAAAAGGAGACTATGCTTGTCGTAAGAGGCGACTAACGGGATCGGGTGGTCAGGCTCGCTTGGTTGAAGCATGTCATCGATCCCAATTGCATGGATTGATGCTCATGATATCAATCACTGGATTGTCTGGTCCAGACTCGATTATTTACAGACCGCCGTCATATAGCTGGAATATTGCTGAGTGAGGCGTCAAACAACAAACAAACAAACTTGGATATATCGTGACTTCACAAGACACAATGTACACATTCTGCCAAGCAAGAAATATTTCCGATTGTGCAACCTGAGGCGAGTGATGACCCGACTGAGCACTCGCTGGCTTCCATCTCGCTGGACTCGGCCCTTGTTTGATTGGTTGGTTAAAATAGCGACAGATCGAGTGATGGTGGAATATACAAACCCGTGAAGTATTCGCGATGTGTGTCTCAGAGAGTATTAGTATCAATCCCTGGACTTACCTGTCAAGCACATTAACATGGATGTGAGGAGTGTGTAAAGTGTGGTATCGATAGATAATGCATAATCTTAACATTGCCAGCAGGTATTTGCTCAAGACACATAGGCTGCTTAAGAAAATTGTTTTGACCCCTGTAAACCATATTTCACTTGTCCTCTGAGTTTGTAGCTCGTCCTGTTTGAGCAGGACAAATATGTTAGCAATGTTTGCTTTACCTGCCAGTTTTATTCATTTTATTTTGTTTGTTTGTTTGTTTGTGGTTTAACGCCACACTCAGCAATATTCCAGCTATATGATGGCAGTCTGTAAATAATCCAGTCTGGACCAGACAATTCAGTGATTGATATCATGATTGACGTCATGAACATCAATCCACACAAGTGGGATCAATGACATGCATCAACCAAGTCAGCGAGCCTGACCACCCGATCCCGTAAGTCGCCTCTTACGACAAGCATAGTCGCCCTTTACGGCAGGCATGGGTTGCAGACGACATATTCTACCCCGCATCTTCACGGGTCAGTTTATTTTGTAGCAAAATTGAAGTATTGAGACCTGGATTTACACTTGTCCACAGTACAGAGTAGGAGTGCCAGGCTAGCAAACTTGTGTGACTTTCGAAGGATGCATAGGTCACAATAGAATATTTTTCTTTCAACAAGTAAATGTCACTCATAAATCAAGAAACTTTGGGGGTAGAGATGTCTGCAGTACATCTGATTGGCTAAAGCTAAAAAAATCTATTCACAAACTGTTCAGAATACATCCAGAGTATGAAAAATGGAAAATACATTTCAAATTGGTGTGTGAGAGAAACAATAGGGATATACAAACCTTAGGTGTGCATGTTCATGCAATAATCAGGTATCAAATAAATTAAAAGTGTAAGATGGTGAGTGTACTATACGTGTATCAATACTCTCAAAACCTGAGCAGATTATTCATTATGTGGTTAAATGTAAGATGCATTTAAGTGCCCACTGTGCTGGAACAGTGAATTCCAACAATTTCTGCAAAATTTCCAAAATTTTCTGCAGAATTCTGCAGAAAGCGCCGGAAATCATGATCTCTGCTGTTATGAGAAGAAGTAAAGAAGGAATACATGCCATAGCCTATTCTACTGGCGTAGGAGTCTTCAAACACGTCAGGGGGATAGCCCACACAATCGTCTTCGCTCAATGATGACATGGCTTTTGCTGACGAGGAAAACAAACAAATCATGCCACAAACACAGCACGCACACACGCTAGAAAAATACTAATTAATTTTTAATAGTAAGGGAAAAAGTTACACTGCCTAATTTTATTATCCTTTATCAGAGTAGCCAAAGTGATCGCATAGATCTCATGAATTTTCCAGATTCATCTCATACTTTCATTTTCTAAACAAATTATTTGAAGTAAAATAGACCTCTAATCACTATTGCAATTTATTACTATTTTGAATCAATATATTCCTAATAAAGAGGAATACCGGTATTTAACAGCCTCTAACATATGAAGTTCAAGAACCTTATTCAACCATCAATATTAGTTCCTTAATCAGAATGTATTTTCGTGATGATATTTGTTTCCTTTGACCATTCCAACTATTATTTAATCTTGAAGAACTTAATTTCCAATATTTCAGATGAATATAAGAGAAAAACAATTCTTTTAATGAAAATATAAATTTTCATCACATTTCATGATACTGGTAAACTACTAAATTTTTTATTTCTTTTTGAAACAACATTTTATAATTCAATATAAAAATCAACCCTATACTTAACAGAATTTCTCAAAAGTTTACCAGGTATGCATTTTTTTTTATTCTTTCTTTTAAATCTAGAGTTAGTGAGGGACACCATCAAGTTCAGCAACCAGTTAATGACCATCTTCATTTATCCAGGGTATCATATCTCCATCCTATCATGACAAATACCCGGGACCCATGCACATCCACAGTTTCATTTCAAAACAGCATGACGCTAAAAATAGCCATCCAATCAAATTCTTCTCATGAGCAAGAGAATGTCTGTGCGATGTTAGTGATGAAGAGATGGAGATTGTGACGTCACTTCTGAAACGAAGCTGTGGTGGCAAATGGGTCCAGGGTATTTATCCCAATAGGCTGGAGATATAATACCCTGGCAACAAGAAGATGGTTAATGCCTCAACAAACGTTACTCAAAAGCTGGGTGATGTCATGCAGGATACACTGAATGGAAAACCATTGTCTGTGGACCACAACAAACCATTTCATATTTTACCAATTTTCTGCTCATGAGCATTTAAAAGCAATATCGTAATCCAAAATGGAAAGCAATTATTTGTTACAGTCCGTTACGAGGAGGTGCAAAATTTGTAAAATTGAAACAAGCAAATGTTAAGTGAGAAATGTGTTAGAATCAGAGGATGCTTTTAAAGTCAGTAAATTGAAGAGTGATTTTAATAAAGAAACATGTTGCCAAAATAACGAAGAAATTAAATAAAAATGACTTTAATATTATTGAAGGACATGACAAACTTGAATCAGATTAAAAATAAGTTCTCAACTTGAAAAATTGAAATAAAACATTGAAAAATATAATTTCAAGAAAAACGTTCCACAGAAATTTAACTATGATACTCACTTGAGCTTGACTGAGGTATATCTCCGGCGTTGACGCGGGGCGTTGAAGTGTACTGAGTGTTGTACTGGGTTCGAGGGTACACAGGTCGCATGGGATGACCTCCGACGTCTCGCGGGTCAATCATTTGGGTAATGTGACCATTTGGTAATGCTGTTACTGTGGCAACCGCTGCAAGCAAAATGGAAGGATGTAAGCATTTGTGAAACTTCGTTTAAAAAAAACTTTAAATGAGGTACCAAAGATTACCTCGAGGATATATTTTGTTTGTTTGTTTGTTGTTTAATGCCGCATTCAGCAATATTTCAGCTATATGATGGCGGTCTGTAAATAATCAAATCTGGACAAGACAAACCAGTGATTGACATCATGAGCGACAATCGATGATGTCACGGTATGAAAACATGCTATCAGCAAAGTCCCCAATCCTGACCACCTGGTCCATTACATTGCCTCTTACAACCAGCACAGGTTGCTAGGGAACAAAACTATCCCAGAATTCCCACTGTCTCCCCATCTTAAGACCAGCATAGGTTGCTAGGATACAAAACTATCCCAGAATCCCCACTGTCTCCCCATCTTAAGACCAGCATAGGTTGCTAGAGAACAGAACTAACCCAGAATCCCGACTGTCTCCCCATCTTAAGACCAGCATAGGTTGCTAGAGAACAGAAGTAACCCAGAATCCCGACTGTCTCCCCATCTTAAGACCAGCATAGGTTGCTAGAGAACAGAACTAACCCAGAATCCCGACTGTCTCCCGATCTTACGACCAGCATAAGCTGCTAGGGAACAGAACTAACCCAGAATCCCCACTGTCTCCCCATCTTACAACCAGCATAGGTTGCTAGGGAACAAAACTAACTCAGAATCCCCACTGTCTCCCCATCTTAATAAACTAATTGCTGGGGACCAGGGTCTCCCCCGGGTCCCACAGCCGCTGAGAGCCATAAAGTGACTGTGCCTATTACTCTAAACTCAACAGTGCAAATGTAAAATATATTGTATTTTGCTACTGTGAAATACACAGATTTAGTCAAAGTCACCAAAATAAATTTACCATAATTTGCAATGAAAAATGAATATTTCCTTTCATGCTTAAACAATACAATTTCATTTGAAATAAACATAAAGATGTTTGCTCGGTGGAGTAGTGGGAATTTGTGGGAATAGTGGGAATTTGTGAACAGACAAATCTTTCCTGTGACGATGACGAAGACCTACGTTCTTTCTGTAGAGGCTGTGCATCCACTGGGATGGTGATGGGTTTCGGACGGACGATGCTCCTCTGATGTGCCGGTTGGTATCTTTCTTCCCCACTCGAGGGGTACCCACTCTCTCCTGTAGGAGACAAATATCACCGTAAGAACAAACATATACCCACTCTCTCCTGTAGGAGACAAATATCACCGTTAGAACAAACCTATACCCACTCTCTCCTGTAGGAGGCAAATATCACCATTAACACAAACCTATACCCACTCTCTCCTGTAGGAGGCAAATATCACCGTTAACACAAACCTATACCCACTCTCTCCTGTAGGAGACAAATATCACCATAAACACAAACCTATACCCACTCTCTCCTGTAGGAGACAAATATCACTGTTAACACAAACCTATACCCACTCTCTACTGTAGGAGGCAAATATCACCGTTAACACAAACCTATACCCACTCTCTACTGTAGGAGACAAATATCACTGTTAACACAAACCTATACCCACTCTCTCCTGTAGGAGACAAATATCACCATTAACACAAACCTATACCCACTCTCTACTGTAGGAGACAAATATCACCGTCAACACAAACCTATACCCACTCTCTCCTGTAGGAGACAAATATCACCTTTGGAACAAACCTATACCCATTCTCTACTGTAGGAGACAAATATCCCCATCAGAACAAACATATAGCCACTCTCTCCTGTAGGAGACAAATATCACAGTCAGAACAAACATATACCCACTCTCTCTTGTAGGAGACAAATATCAAGCCGGCATATTTACAAGCTAATGTATTCACAAGCTGGCATATTCACAAGCTGGTGTATTCACAAGCTGATGTATTCACAAGCATGCTGTATTCACAAGCTGGCATATTCCAAAAACTGACCAACAAAAGAGTTTCTCCGTTTGTCCATGATGTCCAGCCCTGGAGGGAACTCGTCCAGCCGGTCAGAGGAGCCTCGCGATGACCGACGTAGCGTGCTGGTGGCGACGGACATGTTGGACTCGCTGCGCTGGGACTTGTCCATCTTGCCCATCTCCATGTGGTTGGGTTGATGGATCCACAGGTCTGGGGGCTTCACATCCTTGGGCATCCCCTTCAGGGGCTTGTTTGGGGACTTGTAGCTGGGAAATCACATTTGTGGTTAGTGAGTGGGGGTGACGGCGCTTTGAACCGAATTCCAGTCATATCTCGACGTGTCAGCTTGATGTTGGAGGATAGTTATGACTGAGTGAATGAGTATGGTTTTACGCTGCTTTTAGCAATATTCCAGCAATATCACGGCGGGGGACACCAGAAATTGGATTCACACATTGTACCCATGTTGGGAATTGAACTCGGGCCTTCAGCGTGATGAGCGAACGCTTTAACCACTAGGCTACCCGACCGCCCCCTGATAGTTATGACATTAGATGAATGAAACTTAGTGATTGCAGTGGTAGAAACCAACATTTTTAGTCCACTCGTCCTTATAATGATAACATATGGCAAACCCCCTATAAACGGCAAATTTCTACTTGTCCTTACGATACCTAAATTATTGGGCAGTTTGGCAGTTGGTAAACAAGACTAGCATCAATTTCTAACAATGGATTGTCAACTATTAATGTTGGTTTTGTTGTAAAGTCATTTGAGTTGGGTTTGAAATAGAATTTTCTTTCAATTAGAACTTTAAAATATTCCAAAACAATTCTCGGAAAGGTGGAGACAATTCTTTACGTGACCCACGACACATTACTTTTCACAACATCAATTATGACCCCTTAAACATGAGGATATTTATCAAATCATTTTCATGAACAAGAATTAAAAGAAAAAATGCCAACTCTCCCCTAGAATATCAAATCATTGGCCCTCTATACATTCGTGCTTTTGTGAAAGTTCCAGTTTCATTAGAACATTGAGTGAGTGAGTGAGTTGGGGTTAGCGCCGCTTTTAACAGTATTCCAGTCATATCACGGCATGTCCGCTTAATGTGGGAGGAAAGCCTAAAGTGATGCAGATGTTTACCACTTGGGTGAAACCCACGAGCACGGGTATGGTGCTGACAAACCTAGAAACATAATCGGGGCGAACCGGGATTCGAACCCACAATCATAGGTTTCTGGCATGCTCAAGGGACGCAACTCTGCACAGCGAATTGCGGTGCCTTTGACGACTGGGCCACCCCTGCCCCAAGAACATTGAGGAAGAATGTTGCTGTGGACAAATTGTCCTCCTACCTTCTTATATCCTGGCGCTGAGCGTCACGCTTCTTGCACAGCAGAACACCAACCACGATGATGACGATGCAAAATATTATTCCCACGGCAACCGCAATGATGATGATGATGATGTTCATGGACAGGCCACCCTGTTCGTCGGAATCCGTCATCGCTGCTCTGTCCACTGGGCATACACAAGACAAAACCATAACATTGTGGGACTTTCACTGGGGATACACTAGACAAAACCATAACATTGTGGGACTTTCACTCGGGATACACAAGACAAAACCATAACATTGTGGGACTTTCACTGGGGATACACTAGACAAAACCATAACATTGTGGGACTTTCACTCGGGATACACTAGACAAAACCATAACATTGTGGGACTTTCACTCGGGATACAGTAGACAAAACCATAACATTGTGGGACTTTCACTCGGGATACACAAGACAAAACCATAACATTTTGGGACTTTCACTTGGGATACACTAGACAAAACCATAACATTGTGGGACTTTCACTCGGGATACACTAGACAAAACCATAACATTGTGGGACTTTCACTCGGGATACACAAGACAAAACCATAACATTGTGGGACTATCACTGGGCATACACTAGACAAAACCATAACATTGTGAGACTTTCACTGGGGATACACAAGACAAAACCATAACATTGTAGGGACTTTCACTGAGGATACACTAGACAAAACCATAACATTGTGGGACTTTCACTGAGGATACACTAGACAAAACCATAACATTGTGGGACTTTCACTGGGGATACACAAGCCAAAACCATAACATTTTGGGACTTACACTGGGGATACACAAGACAAAACCATAACATTGTGGGACTTTCACTCGGGATACACAAGACAAAACCATAACATTGTGGGACTTTCACTGGGGATACACTAGACAAAACCATAACATTGTGGGACTTTCACTCGGGATACACAAGACAAAACCATAACATTGTGGGACTTTCACTGGGGATACACTAGACAAAACCATAACATTGTGGGACTTTCACTCGGGATACACAAGACAAAACCATAACATTGTGGGACTTTCACTGGGGATACACAAGACAAAACCATAACATTGTGGGACTTTCACTGGGGATACACTAGACAAAACCATAACATTGTGGGACTTTCACTCGGGATACACTAGACAAAACCATAACATTGTGGGACTTTCACTCGGGATACACAAGACAAAACCATAACATTGTGGGACTTTAACTTTCACTGATATCCTGTTTTGGGGAACAGTTTGCTGTTAAAAAATAGAAAAATTACACGCCCACGCCCACTGCCCCCCCCACTCCCAACCTGATTATCAAATAGTAGGCTCCACTGGCTGTGAATTTCTTTCCCCTTTTCAATATTCCACAAACAAATCTTCCTAGCAGCCAAAGGGAATTTCCTATGATTTTCAAAGTTGTTCAAAATACATGTATAACAAATTCCTTCTATCTTTAAAACTTCTTTGCACAAAATATGTCTGTGGAACTAATGCAAAGAATTACCCAAATGATTTCAACAGACACAAACATGATTTCAACAGATGCAGTTCATGATCGCAATGGACATGATTCATGATTTCAACAGATACAATTCATTATTTCAACGGACACAATTCATGATTTCAACAGACACAATTCATGATTTCAACAGACACAATTCATGATTTTTAACAGACACAATTCATGATTTCAACACACAATTCATGATTTCAACAGACACAATTCATGATTTCAATGTATGATTCATGATTCCAACAGTGATATTCATGATTTCAGTGTATGATTCATAATTTCATTTCAACAGACACAATTCATGATTTCAATGTATGATTCATAATTTCAATAGACATGATTCATGATTTCAAATAACACAATTGAGGATTTCAATGTATGAGTCATAATTTCAACAGACATTTCATGATTTCAACAGACACATGTGATGACAAACAGACACAATTCATGATTTCAACGGACAAAGTTCCTCAGTAAACCAGCCAATAACTCACTTTTTGGTGTTTTGTAGATCTTGGTTTCCGACATTGGTCCATAGCCTTTCCGATTCCGAGCTTGAACCTTGAAATAGTAGGTCGTGTCCGGGGTGAGATCACTGATCACAGTAGACAACCGATCTCCGACCACGCCCTCCAACACCCAGTCTCTGTCGGCCTGGTTGGAGTCCGTTGTGTAAAATATCAAGTACCCTGAAACAAATAACAAAATTGAAATTGTGAAAATTTAAATTTATATTATATTTTTACATACTAACCTGAAAAATATGATAAGAATTTATGTTTTGCAAGTAATTTTCATCTTCACAAGACGAATCATGTCAAACAAAAGCATTTCAGTCACTTCTTAATTTGTATAAAAATAAATATAATTTAATTTTTTTTTTTTTTTTTTTTTCATTACCTGTGCCATAACGATGGTGACCTTACACTAAAGTAGGGCTGGGACGATACACCAACTGTGCGACCCGATATGTATCATGATACCTTGCTCACGATCCGATATGTATCACGATACTTGCTCTTATGTGGTGCGTAAACCATCTTTTTCAGAGACAGGCTATTCAAATACCTGGCACACTGATGATTTACAGCTGGCAGTGTCAAGTATGGCACAATGGATGAAAATATTTACGTTTTCACTGCTAATTTTCACTACTAATTTTCACTACTAATTAGTGTTTGGTGTTACAGTTATAAAAGTAAACATTTAAGGTAAGAAACTTTTCACTTAGTGTGCGACTGTGATTGATACTTGTATCGAGAATTAAAAAACCCGATCCACCGATGCATCAGTGTATCGTCCCACGACTACACAAAAGTGGTCAATATTTAAGATTGCTGTAACCCTTCAGGTTCCTTGTGAACTTAAACCAATGGAACTTTAAAGCAAATGTTGTAATGAGCAAACTGTTTCGTAACAGTGGGCATCTCAGTTGTAAATACTATTTTCTTGAAAACAAAAAATATTGGATTTAGTCCTTACTGCCAAAACAGATGATTACTAGTATGGAACATCATGGTGACAAAAATATTTGTGACTATTTCCAATTTTGTCCTGTTATTTATATTCTTTTCTCAAAATTATTTTTGTACGAAGTATATTCCTGGGTTCTTTTGGACATCTGACAAGGTGTGACGACAGCGAGTTGCGGGGAAAGTACGACATATAATGTGACCTTGCTTACCTCCAACAAGTGTGCAAAACGTGAGGACACACACGATATGTGCATGAAAATATTGACAAGAGTCAAATGTCTACCTCTAAACCATTGAACAAATTCAAACATGGATGACCTACAGAGCACAAATTACCCAGAACACACCAAATATCAGTCAAGAAGGAATAGAAATGAAAGTTTATTTAATTTTGAAAAATATAATTTTTTTTTATTATTTTCATTTTTTAATTTTTTTAAAACTTTTTATGATTTTTATACGTTTCATTGCTGCAGATGTTCTGCAAAAAGATCACATTGGAATGTTTAGATAATGATACAGCTTTAAAAAAATGAAAAGAAACAGGATTTTGTCAGACTCAAAACATGAAGTGAATTTTCTAAAGAAAACAATTTATAGGATAATAGGTAATTAATAGCCAATTATTGCAGTGTATAATTAGCCATACAATTCCTGCAAATTCTTTTGAAATCCTTTTCTTCTGCAAATTTGCTGAAAAATCCTGTAAAAGGGAGTGAAACCACCAATCTAAGTTTGGAAGCACAGCAGTGTCTATGAAAAGGACAAGTTGCACCATGGGAAACAGGAAGTTGTACCTACTCCACAGGAGTGCATTATGGGACATCACATGGACCAACAGACACAGACATGGAGACAGACATGGACACAGACAAACAGACACAGACACACAGAGACTGTGTGACAGGGGGTGGCATACCTGTTTTCTCTGCAGAGGGATGGCAGGAAAAGATACAATGGCGGTGATGAATGGTCATGGTTTGGAAACATCAACGTAGGGTTGTCACGATTCACTACATCTTCCCGAGGCAAGGGAGATAACTGACTTTAAAAGTCCAGTTTCCACCCTTGTCGAACTAGGCTGGTATTATGGAGTTAGATTTTGGCTGGGTTAACGAGTCTATGCATAGTCCAATCAAAATCGTGCAAAAAAATCGAAATCCGTCGATTGCAGTATTTGCAAAGCATGTGTACCGCCAACTTGGTGTCAACAGATATTTTCCAAATGTTTTCATGTTTTTTATCAAGGTGCTCATGTGATTTGATGCATTTCGCGATGTAAGACTTGTTTTATCACAATATAGATCTTGATAATCGATCAGATCGTCTTGACTGGGCGCCGCCATTTTGTTTTAATCAAATGCAAGTGATGCGCGAGGTGGAAGCTGACTGGTCCATAGGAGAGGTTTAGAAGTGACATAACTCGTGAAAACCAGTGGTGGCGCTACGATCGAGTCCAGGAATTCCAGCCTAGTTCAGCAAGGGTGGAAACTGGACTTTTAAAGTCAGTTAACTCCCTTGCCTCAGGAAGATGGATTCACCGATGTATCAATACAGTGCGAAGTTACACCTGACAGTATGACCGACATTGATCTACCCATGATTCATGTTTTGTATCTGTATCGCTTTTCAAAAATTAATATCCGCAACATTTCAAACCAGATCTTTTACTACGATGTGGTACATCTGCGTCAAGATCTGACACCACCTTACGAGGTCTCGTCACACTGAGCGAACTATGAACATCCAATCAAAATGAAGGATGCGTCATGACCAAAGTATCGCGATATGTATCGATACGCAAGGTAAGCACATCGTGACACCCCCATTCAGCTGCATCAATTTATTAAGATTCTTGGATTCCTATTTTCTGAGAGTTGAGGTTTGAGAGAGCTCACCTGTGATTAAACCGTTTGGTTTCTGGGGGGGTTGCCAGTTGAGTGTGACAGAGAGGGGGTTGCCCTCCACAGCCACTGGGGTCAAGTCTCTCGGCTCCGAACCAGGCGCTGGAACACAGAAGTGGTATGCAGTCACAGAGCAGGTTTGGGTTCCATCAGCCATTACTCGTATGACTTCAGTTTTTGTTTGTTTGTTTGATGGTTAATGTTGTAAGTCTTTCATAAAGAAGAAAGCACTTGAAAGTTTTCTTGTTTAATGCCGCACTCATTGAAGGCAATCTGTAAATAATCAAGTCCAGACCAGATAATCAAGTGATTGACATCATGAGCATCGATCCACGCAATTGGGATACGATTACTTGCATCAACCAAGTCAACGAGCCTGACTACTCGTTCCCATTAGTCGCCTCTTACGACAAGCATAGTCGACTTTTACAGCAAGCATGGTTTGCTGAAGACCTATTCTTCACCTACCTGATTCTTGCGTAGTGTTGATCACACTCATACTCCACGTGCTCTGTCGGCGACCTTTGATGACCTTGACAGAGAACTCATACTGTGTGTTTGGCTTGAGACCATCAACATGGGCGTTAAGATCGGTGGAGTTGAGCTGCCTGGGTCTACGGTTGTGGCTAGGTAGCGGTGTGTATCTCACAGTGTAATATCTGTTATCCGTTATTTTCTGACTCTTCCCAAGGGTGTTATCTGCCCATGTCAACACAATGGTCGACGGGGACAGGACAATGGCCTTGAGACCAATCGGAGGCATCATGGGCGTGGCAGGTTCCTCTGCTGGGAGAAACGGGTAAAACCCATTCTACTTTAGTAACAGAATCGTTAGTGGCAACGGAAGAACTACAAGCAGGACAACTAGTCTAGGTTACACAATTTCAGTGGAATTTAAAATGGACGATAAGTAAAGGAGGGAGAGGAAAGGGTTTCAATGTACAGTCACAACCTGATTCTTGAAACAATGGGGTCCTTTATTGTCTGTGCCAAAGATATGCTTTGTTTGTTTGTTTTTAACGCCGCACTCAGCAATATTCCAGGTATATGACGGCGGTCTGTAAATAATCGAGTCTGGACCAGACAATCCAGTAACTGATATCATGAGCATCAATCCATGCAATTGGGATACGATGACATGCATCAACCAAGTCAGTGAGTCTGACCATCCAATCCCTTTAGTCGGCTCTTATGGCAAGCATGGGTTGCTGAAGACCTTTTCTACCCCGTATCTGAGATGGATATGCAAACTCTCTGGTTTCTAATCCTTTTTTTAAAAAATGAAGAGGACCTAGAATGTTTTTGATTGATTGATTAATTAATTAGTAACAAAAGATAAGGGTCTTCGATTGTTAGGACAGTAATTGTTGTAGAATAACTAGATAATGTTAATTCTGTACCAGGTCCAAACTCAAATGTTAGAGTTTGGCATGAAAAGGATTTCATACCAAACTCAGTTGTTCCTAAAGGGTAGACACAGATCTCAAACTACAGGATAAAAATGTTATATTACTTCTAGGAAATAATCAAACAAATAAACTTTTCTGATGAAATATTGTAAATAAATAAACATAACTACACACAATTTTACCAATAAATAATCAGTCTGAGATACAAGATCCAATCTCAAAATTGAGTAAGTGTGTTCGGTTTTAAACAACTTTTTATTTTAGCAACATTCCGTCAATAACCTGGCAGGGAACACCATGAACCCATGTGAGGAATTGAAACCCAGCCTTAGGCGAGATGAACGAACACTTTAACCATTAGCCTACCCCAATGCCCACTTCAAAATTGAGTTGTGAAATCAATTTCAACTTAAAGTTATTTTATGTTGTTTCTTTTTGTAAGTTATTATCCAAGTTTAGATTTAAAAAAAAGAGATAAATTTATTTTATCTAATAATCAGACTGAACATGATGTAGCAAATTAAAAAAAAATATGAATTAACTTTTTAAAATTCAAATTTAAGTTTAAACTGACTTGTCTCTTCCATTGTGGTGACTGTCTCATATTTCACTTCTCCTTCTCCTTCTTTGTTGAATGCTCTTATAGAAATCACATACTCCGACACCGGCTCTGAAACAAACAATCATTACAAATAATAATAACTGTGTGTACATATCTCGCGCCAGCCTCCATACACTAGGTGCATGCTAAATGTGCTAACATTATTACCCTGGTCAGTGGATGAGTGCACACTCAAGTTTCATTCTCAGCTCCCTGGGGAGTATACAATCCAAGCTGCCTTGTCAGGCACTAGAAGACTAGTTTTCTCATCCTACCGGGTACCCATTTTACAGCTGGGTGAACAGAGAGGCATATTTCAACAAAGTCCCTTCCTAAGGAGACACCATATGTGCTGCATGTGCCTCAGTGTGCGGCAGGACCGAAGCCCAGGAAACGCTGTGGAGTCAAGCTGCCTAACAGGTCACCCATCCAACCACTCTCTGCGATCGGACATATATTCGCATCATATTAGACCAAATATACAGGAAAATGATTTTGTTCCAGGTTAATTTTTTATGGATAAGTGAGTTTAAATTTAGCATCACATTGGCATTATTTCAGCCCTATAATGACGAAAACAACTTGATATATATAGAACTAGGTCATGAACACAAAGTAATATTTAAAACAGAATTTGTCAAATATATTTGGGCATAACAATATAATAAAAAAAATATAAAAAATTGTGTGTGTGTATGTGAAAAAAACAACCTTCACCATCCTGAAAAATTGTGTTGTGAAATTTTTGTTCGTTTTGCTTCTCTTTTCTGAGAAATACGAATTGTATGTAAGAAGCAGTGACCCAAGGATGATTCTAACTCCAACAAGTAACTAGAATATTAAATTGACAGCTCAGATGTATCGAAACAACAAAATTGTAAAGTTTGCCCAAAATGACCAGTCAATCTTGTCAGTGTCAACTTACGGAGATTCTGTATTGTATAGTCATGAGTGTTGGCGTCAAACGTGGAGCGGTACACATCGGGGAGATTTTTGCCATATCCCAACACATAGCCTCGAACCAGGATCTTGGAGTCGGATGGCGGCGGCGCCCATGTGACGATGATGGAGTTAGCCCGTGGCTTCACAGACAACCGTGCAGGCCGAGGTGGTACTTGGTTTTCTGGACAAGAAAAACATCAGCTCAAGATTTATGTCTACTATTAAAAAATTACAAGAAAGCATATATTTAAAAATTTTGACTCTTCAGATATATCATAAAAAAAAATACCTAAAAATCATAAAAAAATATTTCTGAATTTCACAATGAAAGAGAAGTGAAACGATAAGGAGAAATCCATAAAATATGAAAATGTTATGAACAGTCATGAAAAATTTCACCAATCATTTTATAATAATAATATTGACACCAACCATCCCACCCCACCTTACCCCAACAAACGCCTCCCCACCCCACCAAACTATGTACCTGATAGGTCATCTCGGTAGGTGGTCACGTGTTCCCAGGACGTGGCTGGACCCGATCCATTGACGGTCAAAGCCGAGATCCTAACCTGATACTCAGTCCCCTTACGCAGCTCTGAAATCAAGCATACCATGGATAGTGATCATCAACAGGTTCAAACAAGCTGCTGTTTCTGGTTAAATGTGAATTAATAATTATTACAGCTAAAATGGATAGAATTATCATTAAACCGCCCGCATGTTATCAAAAATGAGTGGGCCACTGTAACTTGATAATGCCCTGATATTGCTTGATGACGGCCATTATGACGACTGTCATAGGATAGGGATAGGTGACGTCACCTTCAATGGGGACGTCATCTGGTTTGTTCTGTGACGCTTCCATATTTGTAAAAGTGGGTCAGTGACATTCGTGTTGATATTGCAGTAAATGTTTCCATTTATTGTTGCTTCTTTTTATCTGATAACAAATTCCATCCATTTTAGCTATAATAACGGTAACACTATTTTTCAGGGCATTATCATTTGCTGAAGCCCTCGGTCTTTTCAACTGCCCTCCTTCGTCGGGCAGTTAATGGAAGTCCCCAAGCTTCTGCAAATGATAATGCCCTGAAAAATAGCGTTACCCTTATACCAGAACTTGCATTTATATATTTATTTGTTTGTTTGTTTGTTTGTTTGCTGAATAATGCTCCACTCAGTAATAATTCAGAGCTCCAAGATAGTGGCCAGTATATCATCAAGTCTGGACCACTCAAAAAAGTGATTAATATTATGAGCAACGTCACATAATATACTAAGTCACAGAGCTTGACCAACTGATCCAGACAATCACCTTTTGTCAAAGCATGGATTGCTGAGGACCAGTCTTACCCTAGAATCCCATATGGCTTATTTACTACTGAAATGTGATAACAAATCAGTTTGTAAACCAAATCAGGAACATCTGTTAACATCAGTCTTAACAATGCCCCTATAACTATAAAATCCTATTTCAGTATCAGATCTAATATTCCAGCTTTGACCTTGACGACCCGTGAAGATCCACGTTCGAATTGGTCGTCAGCAAACCCATGCTTGTCATAAGAAGTGACTTACGGGATAGGTTGGTCAGGTTCATAGACTGGGTTGATGCATGTCATTGTATCCCAATTGCGTGGATCGATGCTCATTAATTTAATCACTGGATTGTCTGATCCTGACTTGATTATTTACAGACTGCTGCCAGATAGGTGGAATATTGCTGAGTGCATCGTTAAACAACAAACAAACAAACTACAACCTACATCACAAACTGAGAGACCACCTCCGTGGTCTAGTGGTAGAGTGTCCGCCCTGAGAGCAGAAGGTCCGGGGTTCGATCCCCGGCCGCGTCATACCAAAAGACGTTAAAAGATGGTACTTGTTGTTACCTGTCTGGCGCTCGGCATTAAGGGGCTAAAACAAGGACTGGTCAGCTCGGAGTCAGTATACTGTGTCTGAGTGGGGTATTTATGTTAAACTGCAGCATGGTATGTCAGTGAGCTAGCACTATAAATCGGCATCAATCCGAACTAGTACAAGCAGCCACACACACACATACACGTGCATGCACGTCTCTATATAAGTGCAATAATCTTGGACGCAACGTTAAACCCCATTTCACCTCATCTACAAACTGAGAACTGCAAATATTAACACTAAAAGCTGGAGTACCTGTGAGTGCGTAGTTGTTTCTGTTTCCGTCCGTGGTGACGGTCTTTCCCTGCTTGGTGCCCCGCCGCTTGTAGCGGATCTTGTAGCCGGTGATGATTCCGTTCCGGTTATCCAAGGCAGGCGGTTCCCATCGGACAATGATCCTCTGGACAAGTCGAAGTAGAGTGAGTGAGTGAGTGAGTTTGGTTTAGCACCACATAGAACAGTATTTCAGTTAGCCGGTACATCATAGTTTATAATATATCTCTGTTACCAAAACTATCCAAGGTCATAATTAGTAACCACAATTGAACAAATAAATATATATGTCTTTTGTTAAAAAATATTCAAGACAAATATTTGTTAACACTATAATGTAAGTAATAATCTATGTAAATGCAGAGATGCACATGAATTAGGAAAATATTAAGATTTGTCATTTTCCTATTTTTAACTTACTGGCCTATTGCATAAAGAAAACATTAAACATCAAATTTCTTTGATTCCAGAACTTACCGTGGCACTGGATACCTCCAGAGTGAAGTTCTGGGGCGCGGCACTAGGTTCGTCTGAAAATGTCTTTGACACAAATTCTTCAGTACTCATTCCGGGACCGTTTTGGTTGTGCGCCACCACTCGGAGGCTGTACTCGCGGAACTTCTTGAGTTTCTTGAGGACATGCTCTGTGGTGTACACTGACACCTCCTTCTCGGAGTCCGAGCCGACCTCGTAGTAGATGAGAACGTAGTGGGAGATCCGGCCCTTGCTCTCCACTGGGGGGTTCCAGTTGACCTTGATGGAGGTGGGGGTCATGGCCACGGCTCGGAGGTTGACAGGCGGGCTAGGAACATGCACTGGAACACAAGGTCATGAATGTTTTATCTGAACACAAGGTCATGAATGTTTTATCTGAACACAAGGTCATGAACATTTTATCTGAACACAAGGTCATGAATGTTTTATCTGAACACAAGGTCATGAATGTTTATCTGAACACAAGGTCATGAACTTTTTATCAGAACACAAAGTCATGAATGTTTTATCTGAACACAAGGTCATTAACTTTTTATCAGAACACAAGGTCATGAATGTTTTATCTGATCACAAGGTCATGAACGCTTTATCTGAACACAAGGTCATGAACGTTTTATCTGAACACAAGGTCATGAATGTTTTATCTGAACAGAAGGTCATGAATGTTTTATCTGAACAGAAGGTCATGAATGTTTTATCTGAACACAAAGGTCATGAACGTTTTATCTGAACACAAGGTCATGAACGTTTTATCTGAACACAAGGTCATGAATGTTTTATCTGAACACAAGGTCATGAATGTCTTATCTGAACACAAGGTCATGAATGTTTTATCTGAACACAAGGTCATGAATGTTTTATCTGAACACAAGGTCATGAATGTTTTATCTGAACACTAGGTCATGAACGTTTTATCTGAACACAAGGTCATGAATGTTTTATCTGAACACAAGGTCATGAATGTTTTATCTGAACAGAAGGTCATGAACGTTTTATCTGAACACAAGGTCATGAATGTTTTATCTGAACAGAAGGTCATGAACATTTTATCTGAACACAAGGTCATGAACGTTTTATTTGAAAACAAAGTCATGATGTTTTTTCAAGACTTCATAAACTTTCAAGTGAATTTGGGGATAAAAAAATGAATAATTACTCTTGACAAGGTAAATATGCAAACACAATGACTCAAGGACCTGACCCGAGGACCAGACCTCCTCAGGGGTCGAGTCCTTGGGTCGTTGTTTTTGCTTATTGACCTCGACAAGAGTAATTATCTGTATGATATTGCCTGCCCTACCTTCTTGGTCAGTAGTGACGGTGATCCTGGCCTCCTGTCGACTAGCCCCGAACCGGTTGTAGGCAATCACGCGGTACTCGTACTCTGTGTGTGGCTTCAGATGCTGGATGTTCGCCTCCGTGGTTGTCGTGTTGGTCACACGCTCCCTGTTAACATCCAACATGGGTCGTTAAGACGAAAAAACATATAATCATAATAACAACAAAATCATAATTTCATCACAAAACCCGTTACTCCCCAAGGCTAGTTAAACGCTCACCTTTCTGATCCTTTTTCCTGCCAGAATACGGAGTAGGCGATGATGTCGGATGGAATGCTCCCCGCTGGCGGTTGCCATGACAACGTAACAAATCTAGTGGACACCAGGACGGCTCGGAGGTTGATAGGCGCGGTGGGTAGGTTCTTGGCGTCGGCGTGAAGAGCTCCTGGATGAATGAGGGGGTACAGAGAGGGGGTGGTGGGGAGGGGGACGTCTAAGGGAGGCAAAAGAAACAAAAAGTGTAAAAGCAAAACAAACGAAAGAACTGAAGCGGCAGGCAATGAGGTCAAACGTAACATCAGCGACCGTGGCTTAAGACTAGTTGGACATTCTGGCAGTCAAATATGCAGAAAAAAACCTATGTCTGGCTTGTGTCCAAATTATCTGCATGTGTTCTTGAGAATCTTGGAAAAATAGAATTTTACGAAAATTTTAGCATTTATGTGTCAAAGATTTATGTGATTCTCTTTGTGAAATTGAACGAATAATGAATGAGTGATGATTTTAAGAATATGTGAATTAATACCTTTATCTTGTATTATTATCATTATTAAGATTATTATGTCAGGCAGGGTTGGTATCAATCAGGAAAGCAATGCATCCTCATTTCTCTATCATGCAAGGCTTAATCGCAAAATGTCACAACTTCATTTATTAAACTTCGTTAAGCATCCTAATCCAAACAGTTTGTGTATTTGATGTTATTAGATGTTTAATGGCGCACTTAGCAATATTCCAGCTTTAGGACGACAGTCTGTAAATAATCAAGTATGGACCAGACAATCCTATGATTGACATCATGAGCATCGATCCACTCAATTGGGATATGATGACATGCATCAACCAAGTCAGCAAGCCTGACCACCCGATCCCATTAGTCGCCTCTTATGACAAGCATAGTCGCCTTTTTAAGGCAAGCATGTGTTGCTGGAGACCTACTCTACCCCAGATCTTCACAGGTGGTATTAGATGTTAAAACACCATCCAAATTAATAGAGTTGAAAAAAAAAATGAAAAAAAATAATACAATTTGTTTTTAGATATTCTGGGCTGAAAAATATGATTTCTGATACAATTATATTCACATTCAATCCTAACAGTGCCAATTTCAAAGTTTACAAATATATAAGCTTTGTATTCAGTAAACCTCACATAGTTACCTCCCTTACATCAGGGCACTGAAAATCAGTTTTCAATGATACAAGATTCCAATTTGAACTTGATCTACAAATCACCAAAACTAACAACGACCGAATGCATTTTCATGTTCTGTAGGCTAAAACCAATAAAAAATATATATCATTTTTCAACCAGAGTTACAAAATCAAACTATTTCTATGTGTGAAATTGTGTGGCAGCCACTGTTTCATTAGCAACATGCTGTGTATTGAAGATTGGGGTCTTAAGCCATTGTCTGCACATCAAAAAACGTGATTTATCAGCTGAAATAGAACAAGTGCATTTTAAACCACCAGGTGTCACAAATAGGGGTGTTCAAGAAGACAAGGAGGGCAATATGTGAATTTATGACATGCCTTATAAAACAGGAAAATATCTTGTTTCCAACTCAATTACTTTGGATTCGTCTGTCAATTTTGTGATTTCAGATCGTTTCTCACAACCTTCTTATAATCCTCGGACCAACAGTGGATCACGTTCCTGTTGCTAGGCAACACTTTGAAATTAGAGATAAATCTGTATAAAAGTCTTTTTTGTGTCCAAGATAATTTTGATAATAATATCAACAGCTACATAACTATTCATGTCATACTCTTTCAATGTCTTATTAATTTCATATTCGAGTTAATAGAAAAGATTGAATTTAATGTAAAATATTTTTGGGTAGTAAACTAACATTGTTCATTTTTTTCTCTCTAAAGCTTTCACTGTTTTGATAAAAAATATCATACCTTGAAAAAGTTAACCTGATCATATACTCACCGAAAAAAGAAATGCAAATACCATACATGGAGAATTACTCATATTCAAGAGATATTAGATTGATTCGATGCAAAAACGAACATACTGGTATGTTGTGTGAACCGACGCTCATGAACGCATCACATGTGATATCATTTTCTATGGTTTCTATGTTTCTATGGTTTGCGGGGTTTTTTGGTGGTGAGTATATTTCCTGTTAACAACAGCCATGATCTAATTCGAAATATATGCCTGATTTCCAGCCAAGATCTGTTCCATAAAACCATCAAATACAAGCATGAAGAAATATATCCGTTTGAATGTGAGAAAAATCAGAAATTTTCAGTTGAAAAAAATTGTTAATATTTTGTTAAGTGCATAAGAATGTCACACAACATTCAGAAAGCAGGGAGGTGAAACTGACCAATCAGCATTAAGTGAACACAAGGTGAAGGTCATGCAGAACATTATGTCGACAACCTGACACAATTGTCAAGCTGCAGACAGTTGTCTGTGAAGGTTTTTCAATCACAATACTAAATAATATTATTTTTTACTTCACCAACTTGAAAAACAACATGAGGGTTAAAACAAAGAAAGGGGAGACAACTTCCACACAAACTGCACAGTAATTACACTATGTGAATAAACCAAAAATAAAATTGACCAAAACCTCCACAGAAATACATCAAATCCCACCACTCACATCCTCCAAGGGGACAATTTGAAATTTAACATATTAAAACAAAAATCTGAAAATTAACAATCTATTAAGAGAACAATTATTTGATAGAAATGCTTTGAAATGTTCTTATTCCAAACATTTCACAATATTTCTTGTGAAAAACACTTGTCATTTGTTAATTTAAAAAAAAAAAAAATCATTGAAGATCTTAAAAAACCCAACTTTGTGCAGTGATTAATATTTTGAAACACAATATAGTTTATATGCACGATTCCGATAGGAATGAAGAGTTATTTTTTTAGTTTAAGATGATATATATTAATCAGCTGAATGATATCAAACACTCAATTTTATATATAGTGCTGTTAATTGGTGCTTGCTCGTTAAAAGGAAAAGTTGAGAGTGTGCACACCTCAGATTAAATGTTACCGATTTTCATGAAGTAATGATTTGAAATGATCAGCCTTAATAGTTTTTTGAATTCACATTTTGATATCAGTAATACATACCAGGTTGCAGAATCACAAGCTGCGCACTCGCTTGTACGTTGCCGAGGTCGTTTGCACCAAAACACTGATAAATGCCGTCATCCGAATTTACGAGGCCAAGTATTTTTAAGTCTTTGCCATCGACTATTTGGAAGTAGTCACTTGGAAAGAGCACATCGCCGTTCTTTAGCCAAGTGATTCTGGGATTAGGCACTCCATATATGTTGCATTCAAATTTGACATCGGAATTGGTGTGGGCAAATACATTGGCTGGCCTCTTCACAAATCTGGGAGGAACTGAATGCAAATAAAAATGGCATTGAAATTTGACATCGGAATTGGTGTGAGAAAATACATTGGCTGGCCTCTTCACAAATCTGGGAGGAACTGAATGCAAATAAAAATGGCATTGAAATTTGACATCGGAATTGGTGTGAGAAAATGCATTGGCTGGCCTCTTTACGAATCTGGGAGGGACAGAATGAAAATAAAAATGGCATTGAAATTTTCAACTAAATTTGTCAACCTCTTTTGTTTTCCTATAGATTGTTATTTCAGTTTAGAAAACTAGAATTCATACACATTTTTCATTTGATTTCAGATATATTTTGCATCTAAACACAGAATCATCTCTGCTACAACTACCTAATTTGAGTTTTAAGATGTAATAATGATCAAAAATGACTGACAGTGGTATAGATCTTCCGTGACTGACATCGTTACTTGTAGGAAGATGTTCAATCAGTCAATACCATATTTCCCCTTCATCTTTAATTTGAGTGAGTGAGTATTGTTTTACGTTTTAGCAATATTCCAGCAATATCACAGCAGGGGACACCAGAAATGGGCTTCACATATTGTACCCATGTCAGGAATCGAACCCGGGTCTTCGGCGTGACAAGCGAACGCTTTAACCACTAGGCTACCCGACCGCCCTCCTTTAGTTTGAAGCATGTCCTACCTAATACTGTCAACATGGTGTCTGCATCGATGCTGTCTTCCTGGTTGACAGCCCGACACGTGTAGACGCCCCCATCACTCTCCTTCAACGTTGTGATCTGCAGGCTTCCACTGCCAACCTTCTTTATCCTTGCACTCTTGGTGTTTCTGTAACATCATCATCATCATCATCATCATCATCATCATCATCATCCATCGTCATCATCACTTGTTTTTGTTTGATGTTCAACGCTGCACACAGCAGTATTCCCGCTATATGACAGCGGTCTGTAAATAATCCTGACCAGACAATCCAGTGATTGACATCATGTAATGACATCATCATCATCATCGTCATCAACAACAACCACCATCATCAACCATCGTCCTCGTCATCATCCATCATCATCGTCATCATAACCAAGGTGCAAATTAGCATCCATCTCACCATCCATGACAGACTATTTCCATGAAGAAGTGTGAAACTAAAACATGACCTGCGCTGTGGATGGGTCATATTTTTCCATAATGTCAATAAATCCCTGGTCTAGAAGTTAGGATATTTGACTATTAATATCAAATATATCAATACGAGTCAACAAAAAATTCCATTGTTTAGGTTGATAATTCCCTTTTCAAATTCTAAATCCCCAGTAGGGTTTGTGGGTGACATGGGTCATATGTAATATGTTCATCTCACATAGACATTGGTCCAATTATCTCACAGCATGTCGGCTTGAATTTTGATTTGTTTGTTTTGATTGTCTGTTTCTCACTTAACGCCGCAATATTCCAGCAATATGACGGCGGTCTTGACGTTTGAGGAAAGCCCGATGTGACGCAGGTCTAAGATGCTAACACTTTGTGAAACACGAGAGCAAGAAATAGAGCTGACAAACCTACATAATTAGGACGAAACGGGATTCGAACCCCAAACCAAAGGGACGCAACGATCACAAAGAGCTTCCTTGTATGAACAGCCCACTGTGTTTCTCAGATGAACGAAGCTTCCATAAAATATAGGACGACCAATTACCTCCCTTCAACTTGAAACTTAAATGAAAGGTGAAAAGTCATTTGTTTGCTTTCCTGAAGAACTCAATAACTAGCAGAATTAATGCAGTTGCACTTACATTTCCGTAAAAATAAAAAACTGATATTACCCTTTCGAGCAGTTTTGTTTGGGGAACTTATTTCAAAAGCGAGAATTTGTACAACAAAGTCAATATTTAGTGACGTCTAAAAAATGGCCATGATAAACGGTCATGGCATTTTCAGCCATCAGCCTCATCTGTCATGTCGGGAAGCTGGCCTTAGAAGTGACAAGGATGTAACTGCTGTATTTTTTTAAAATATTACTTCTTTTTTTTCAAAACTTATTATCCAAAACCGGCTTTCACAGGAGAAATTCCCTTTGTGAGATCAAGCGATATCTCCTAGCGATGTTGGTTGAAATGATGTCACAATCAAATGACATCACTAATCTCTCTGCCACTGAAGATGGTTAGCTGTCCATTTTACACACAAGACACTGGTTATTTCTTGTAGCAGGAAGAATGATTTTGGATTATATACACAATCTTTCCATGGTTTAATTGTTTTGATATCGAATATATCAGCACCCATTGACATTTGTTTAAGAGTCCTCGGCAAGCCTTGGAGTTTTCATCTTTTATCAACTTGGGTTGGTGAGGTGAGGTGAAATGGGGTTTAACGTCGTGTCCAAGATTATTGCACTTATATAGCGACGTGCATGCACGTGTATATGTGTGTGTGTGGCTGCTTGTTCTAGTCCGGACTGATGCCGATTTATAGTGCTAGCACACTGAGATACCATGCCGCAGTTAACATGAATACCCCACTCAGACACAGTATACTGACTCCGAGCCGACCAGTCCTTGTTTTAGCCCCTTAATGCCGAGCGCCAGACAGGGTAACAACAAGTACAATCTTTTAACGTCTTTTGGTATGACGCGGATGGGGATCGAACCCCGGACCTTCCGCTCTCCGGGCGGATGCTCTACCATGAGACCACGGAGGCGGTCTTCAACTTGGGTTGACAGACAGTCGATCCTTATTGTGTACGTCAAAGTTTGATGTGTCAAATTACCAGTTGTTTCAAACTCATTTGAGAGACGCAGGTGTCCAAATTAAGGATCAAGTGTTCCTGATGTCACAAACCCAGGATAACTAACTAGAACTCTTTTCCAGGTCCCCACAAGATTTGACACAACAAGATTTGACACAACGAGATTTGACACAACAAGGTTTGGCTGAATTTGATATCAATACAGACTTGTTAGAGATTCTGTATTCATTTGTTTTGGTCACAAGTTTTTCCAATAAATAGGAATGTGCACATTTGGCACCAAGAATTGAATATTGATACAAATGTACACAATTTGCCATATAAGGTAATGACACCTACCTTAATGCCATATAAGGTAATAACACCTACCTTATTGCCATATATGGTAAAGACACCTACTCTTATGCCATAAAAGGTAATGGCACCAACATTTATCCCATATGAGGTAATAAACCTACTTTAATGCCATATAAGGTAATATGACGCCTACATAATGCAGCATAAGGTAATGACACCTACTTTAATGCTGTATAAGGTAAAGACACCTACCCTTATGCCATATAAGGTAAATGAGAGCAACTCTAATTCCGTATAATGTAATGACACCTACTCTAATGCTATATACGGTAATGACACCTACTCTAATGCCATATAAGGTAATTGCACCTACTCTAATGCCATATATGGTAATGACAACCACTCAAATGCCATATATGGTAATGACACCTACTCTTATGCCATATAAGGTTATGACACCTACTCTAATGCCATATAAGGTATTGACACCTACGCTAAAGCAATGGTGACTCCATCCTTCAGCCACTTTATCGTGGGTGTCTCCTCCTTCACGTCCCTCCCGTTGGCGCCACAGTGGAGAACAACAGTCGTTCCGTAGTCCGCACGATGATCTTTGGGCCTCATCACAAATTCAGGAGCGACACCTTCTTCTATATCTACAAAAGAAAATTTGATTTATACATTAATAAATACAAATTTGAAAGACAAGAATTTGTAATTTTTTACATTGTTCTGTAAATGACTTTTATCATAAAAACCACTAGAACTATATACTACCACTATTACATACATTAGACATACAAGATAATAGACTGTCTATTTATTGCAACTCATTTAAATAAAAAAAAATAACATTGATAAAACTCAATGTCAAGATGGCCTCAATCCTAGGGCTGGGACGAGTCCAAACTTCCCAGGTACCCACTCCCTATCGCTCGACCCTACAGGGTACCTGCTGTAGGTCTTAAAGGGCAAGTTCACACGGAAATGAACCAATTTTTCTTGTACTTTTTCCACATTAAAAGTGTTAACATAGAAGTGTCATAGACAAAAATATAAAAACATCATATTTAATTAACATATTTTTTGCATTAAAACGATTTATATTTTTCACATTTACCAAGTGTTCTATTTCCATAACAAAAACACCATGGCTTATGCCCCTTGCAATATGACGTCATTGGTGCCAATTGATAAACATTATGACGTCATCATGCTTTGTTAGAGCCGCTTCACGTGGTGTAGGTACAGTTTTGTGATTCTAGCGTCTCAGATGCCAGCCAGAATTGTGTTATGCTGAGTCACCACTGCGCCGGAGTGTGTCGTAGACCATGTTGTTTTACCGCAAACTGGTCCTTGATATCTTTTGCGTTGAGAATAGACAGGGACCCAGTTGAATTGGCACCAATTACGTCATAATCTAAGGGGGATAACTCAGGCCTATTTCGCTCGTAAAACGAAGGCCTCATAACGACATATCATTTTAACACTATTGTGAGCTTCCTACTTTCACTGTGAAAAAAAATGAGCGTATATTTTCAAACACAGATACTAACTCATTCTAAAATTGCGTTTTGTTGAGAAAAAGAAAGAAAGTGATTTTTGCGTGTACACTTCCCCTTTAAGTTGGGTACAAAAAGTGTTTAGATAAGGTATAAAACGATCTGATTGTGCAAACACTGAATTTGACTGAAGCTCTGTCTTTACTCAAACATTTCAAAGTCAAAAGGAATGTGCCCATAGTCAGAAAGAAATGCAAACATTAGCGACTTGTACTAGTGTAACCATCAAATTTTATTGTTCTTGTCATTGAACCATATATCACATGAGTAACCATGGGTCCTGGTAGACCTGTGAGTACCTGGGTCCTACCCAGGGCCCACACAAGCCGAGTTACCCGACCCAGCCCTACCCAATCCATACATCACTCCTCAGTGGGTAAATACTTCATTAATTTCTGGTGACCCCCGCCGTGATTTTTGCTGGAATATTGCTAAAAGTGGCGTAAAACCATACTCACTCACTCACTCACATACTTCATTATTTGTGACCCACCTTCAGGGTGAAAAAACACATTTTGACTTAAATTCTTAATAAATTTTAAAACTGCAGTATTGTAGGAACATAACACTGTAATTCTAAAGCATCAAATCATATGTTTTGCAGAGATACATGGCATCAACATTTTTGACTAATTTTCGGGAAAATCCCATTTTCAGTCTTGAAATAATAACTGCTGCAATAATTAGATATAGCGACTGATTAATCAAAAGTAGATATGTTTGTTGAAATGTTTTGAAATAATGTTTTATTATATTACAAACCAACAAGAGAAAAATAAGATATTTGTGTAAAATCCGCACACATGGCGATTTTTACGGAAGTAAGTTGACATCAAACGTCTTTCTTTATGACGCACAATTGTATCCTAGCAACCATAAGGTCCCTATCTCCTGGCGGGTCCCATTTATTCTCAAAATAATTCCACTTCAAACTGTGTGGCCGATGTACTCACTTGTGTTGGGGTTCTGACGTAGTGAGGCTACTCGGCTCGTTCGAGACCTCTCCATATTTTTAGCTTCACAGCTATAGGCCCCGAAGTCTGCAAATCTCACAGGATATATTTCTAAAATACCATCATCATACTGGTATATATTGTCTGCTTTTGCGAGGGCTCTCCCAGCTTTTATCCACCTGACTTTCGGGTGTGGTACCCCTTCAATCTCGCAAGAAAACATGGCTGTATCTCCAAGATACACCACCAAGTCCTCGGGCTCTTTTATAAAATGTTTCGACAAGTCTGAAAAATAAACACAATCATTAGGAAGTGGATCAAGTTTGGTACGTTTATATTGAGCTGAATGCCAGCTCAGCATTTGCTAAAATATATTCATTCCAGTGATTTGACAGTGGCCTGTGAAGATCTGGGGTAGAATAGGTCTTCAGCAACCCATGCTTGCCGTAAAAGGTGACTATGCTTGTCGTAAGAGGCGACTAACAGGATCTGGCGGTCAGGCTCGCTGACTTGGTTGATGCATGTCATCGAATCCCAATTGCCTGGATTGATGCTCATGATATCAAGCACTGGATTATCTGGTCCAGACTTGATTATTTACAGACTGCCATCATATAGCTGGAATATTGCTGAGTGCGGCGTTAAACAATCAACCAAACGAAACCAAACCAAACAATGGCCTGTAAATAATCAAGCCTGGACCAGACAATCCACTGATTGACATCATGATAACGATCCACGCTGTCAGGGTACGATGACACGGATCAACCAAGAACAAGCCTGAACATCCGATCCAGTTCCGTCTTACGACCAGCATTGAATGCTGGGTACCGATTCTTACCCTTATGAAGCGAAAGATGATTTGTTTAAAAGCTGATGAAAGATCACAATTATCAACAACCTGATCAGATTCGGCAATGTAATCTCCATCTTATGTTTTCTTGACATAATCAAATATATTTTATTATTTTAAGAGAGAATCATCATTAACACCAAAACTTAACTTGACAACCCGTAGGGGTTCCAGGTACGAAAATCTGTTCCTGCAGAGACGACTGACAGGATTGGGTGGTCATTTTCAGTGACTTGGGTGCCGTTGTACAAACCGACCTTAGCGCTAAGGTGATTGTAACTCCCACACCTTAACATAGGCTTACAATCATTGTATCGCTGAGGTTGTTCTGTACAACAGCACCCCAATCTATTACACCGAAATTGTGTGCCTCGATGGTCATGATGTCAATCACTTGATTGTCTGGTCCACCACCTGCACACCCTGAGAATCGAGCAGAGCAAGACCCACCAACGGCTGGCCAAGCATCAAATATTAACACAGCCTTTCCTTAATCTCCAACTGGAATATTTGAAAAACTTACATGCAATATCCAGATCAGCTTTCCGACTGACGATGGTTCCAAATCCATCGACAGTGGCTGTACACTGGTAGGTGCCCTTGTCAGTTGGATGGGCTGTTTTAGAATGCTGGACTTGGTTGAAATATAAAGATCCATTTGCTAATAAACTCCTGCAATAAACAAAAGTATCAGTATCATGATGTCAAATTTAACCAAAAATACAAACAGACTGGCGCTAAATCCCACCTTTACACCCCTAATTACAAGCTCCAGTAACCTAGGTGATAATGGTTTGGTTGGTTGGTTGGTTGTTTAACGCCGCACTCAGCAATATTCCAGCTATATGACGGGGGTTTGTAAATAATCGAGTCTGGACCAGACAATCCAGTGATTGATATCATGAGCATCGATCCATGCAATTGGGATCGATGACATGTATCAACTAAGTCAGTGAGCCTGACCACCCGATCCCGTTAGTCGTCTTTTACGACAAGCATAGTCACCTTTTACGACAAGCATGGTTTTCTGAAGACCTATTCTACCCCGGAACTAGGTAATAATATCTAAGCGCTTGCAAAGCATGCCTATGCATGGAGCACAGCGCCACATAAATGGGATTATTATTAAACAGAATCAGGGTGAATTGAGTTTTCAATCCCACAATCCTGGTATGCTTAAGGGAGGCAACTCTTCAAAATTAATTGCTGTATCTTGGACAATTTGTTTGTTTGTTTGTTGTCTAAGGCACCACTCAACAATATTCCAGCTATATGATGGTGGTCTGTAAATAATCATGTCTGGACCAGACAATCCAGTGATTGACATCATGAGCACAGATCCACACAATTGGGATCACACAAATGCATCAACCATGTCAGCAAACCTGACCACCCGATCCTTTTAGTCGCCTCTTATGGCAAGCATAGTTGCCTTTTACGGCAAGCATGTGTTGCTGAAGACCTATTCTACTCCTGATCTTCACGGGTGCTGTATCTTGGACGAAGGGGCCACTTGTAGCTGCCAGTATGTTATTTCAGAAAGACACCAACTGAATTACATTAACTAATTTCCTTACCGATCTGAATTTTCAAAATTTAAGTAGTTGCCATCTTTCATCCACTGTATGTTGGGGGTGGTCTCGCCGTGGTAGGCGGAACAGTTGAGGAGCGACTTGGAGCCTTTCTTCACGATCAGGTCGTGCGGCTCCACGGTGAAGTAAAACTGACTGAAGTGGGGGACTGTGGCTCCTGAAACAGAGTGAGTGAGTGAGTGAGTGAGTAAAGGTGGAGTGAGTGAGTGAGTGAGTGAGTGAGTGAGTGAGTGAGTGAGTAAAGGTGGAGTGAGTGAGTGAGTACAGGTGGAGTGAGTGAGTACAGGTGGAGTGAGTGAGTGAGTATAGGTGGAGTGAGTGAGTGAGTTAGTGAGTAAAGGTGGAGTGAGTGAGTGAGTGAGTGAGTGAGTGAGTATAGGTGGAATGAGTGAGTGAGTGAGTATAGGTGGAGTGAGTGAGTGAGTGAGTGTAGGTGGTGGAGTGAGTGAGTGAGAGTGAGTGAGTGAGTGTGTGTAGGTGGTGGAGTGAATTAGTGAGTAAATGGCTGAGTGTGAATGAGTAAATGACAGAGTGAGTGAGTGAGCAGTGTTTTATTCTTCATGAATAACAACCATCATCAACACACTTATGATAATATTGTCATCATCTTTCTCGTCACCATCACCAACACATATATCATCATCATCATCATCATCATCATCCTTACAGTCTTCCTGTTTACATATCTAACTTAAATATTTCTCCGAATTACTTTTCACTCATATTCTCAAAACCAAACAACTAAACTGGAAGATCAAAGTAAGGAAGTGAATTTGCAGGAGAATAAGTCAAACATCTGAACAGAGACTGACCTTAAATTAAGCAGTATATAGTCAACATTATCTCATTCCATCAGTCAAACCCAGACTTTGATGTTAACGAATTTTACATAATCACTGATCAGTGGCAAGACTCTGAGGAGGGCATAAACACAAGCCGCCATGTTGACATAACACATTATGATACACAGTCTAGATGACTGAAACCGTAAACGAACACGCAACTGGAGAACGTTGATCTCACAACAAATATTCACTGCAATTCCAGCGTATGTATGAAATTTAAACCATCAGCAGACATTGCACATATCCCGTCTGCTCATCCCATCCTTTCACCACTAAATTTGTCATAGACTGGTCCAACATCAAAGAAAGGTTTTATCCATTATTGTTTCAAGGGGGATGGAATAATTTGGATTCCAATGTGCAGGATATACCAAGAATATGTAATAGCAAGGCTAGAATGTTTCCAATGCCTCGGGGATGATAGATAGCGCAAACGTAGCCGCAAACATAGCCAACACCATGTGCAGTCTACATGTCTGAAGAGAAAATGTCGTCTGCTTCTTAGGTGCAAGTTTCATTTCAAAGAGGAGCATTTTTCTTGCAAAAGAACATCTTTTATTGCAGAAGTTATGATGATGAAGAAAAATAATGTGAGTAGTAGCAGAGTTATAGCATGAGTAATGTAACCACAATCATAAGCATACTATAATGTTACTTAACAGGATCATGGTCATAATTATTTTTCTTCCTTTTTTTCCACATTTTTATATTCTTATAAGAGAACCTTACAGTGATTCCAATTCAAATCAATTTGAAATTTCCTAAATTGATTAAACCCTGCATTGTTCAATGCCTCCATTGTTCAACCCCTCCATTGTTCAACCCCAGCATTGTTCAACCCCTGCATTGTTCAACCCCTGCATTGTTCAACCCCTGCATTGTTCAACTCCTGCATTGTTCAACCCCTCCATTGTTCAACCCCAGCATTGTTCAACCCCTGCATTGTTCAACCCCTGCATTGTTCAACCCCAGCATTGTTCAACCCCTGCATTGTTCAACCCCTGCATTGTTCAACCCCTGCATTGTTCAACCCAAGCATTGTTTAACCCCAGCATTGTTCAACCCCAGCATTGTTCAACCCCTGCATTGTTCAACCCCTGTATATGATATGGACACAACAGCATTTGCAAATATGCTGGTCACTAGGCAAATGCTAGTGAAAATTCATCAGGACCATTATGAATTATGGACGCTGGCTGGTCAAACTTTTGAAAAGTATGATGTGTCTGTCTCCTTATACTGCACAACATCCTGTTGGTTTTTTTGATCAGACAATTCAGTGATTGACGTTGTGAGCAACGATACATGCCGTTTGAGTCCCATGACACAAAACCAACCAAGTCACCAATCCAGAACACACGACCATTTGGTCATCTCCACCAACCACTGAAGGTTTTAATCCAAATCCTGCAAAGTCCATGAAACATTACATTAATGGGCAGAAAATTAGCAAAGTTTGTGTGGAACCAGTGATTTTTAAGCATTGTTCCTGAAAAAGTTATATCAAGGAATCCTAAAAAAACACAGTTACTTTTTCGCAATAGTGTCCACAACCTAACCAGCACCGCCAAAGAAGCATTGTGAAATGCTACACCCAATTTCAGCTGCGAACATGCGGAGATATTTTACAAGCGAACAAAGTGATTATATTTCAGCCCCTTCCTACATCAACACACATGCTTGTATCAAAGCATTCATAGTTTGCCCAGACATTACTGTTGCGAGAGTAGGGACACAGAGTTTTAAATATACGCAAACTTGCCTTCATCAGGGTGAGAGGGACCACCCAGGACAGATAATAGGATCGCGATAGTTCCCACCTGCTTTGTGCAAACACTCCCACTCCCACAACAAACCTCCCTACAGTAGTGTCAAATCAAGCTACCTTAGACCAGAGCTGTATTTTAATGAGGTTATGAATCGCTGACTCCAAATCTTGAAATGTGAACAAGACATAAAATGAAATGCTGTGGTTTTTTATTCTGTCAATTAGTAAAGATAATTCAACTTATTATACTGTCACTATCAATATATATATATATAAAGTATCTAAATTAGAACATGTTGAACCAATTTCTTAGGAACTTTAAAACATAACAAATATGACAAATTGTGAAAGAAAATAGAAAAAAAGGATATTTTATATCAGATTTTTAAAAATTTAATTGCATCAATCTACCGACACGTTCCTCCCTCCCCTTCCCCCACAAAAGTCTGGCCTCACATCTCAATTGGTTAATCGTAAAGTAATGCAAGCTGATAAACTTGGCCGCTTGAGTGAGTGAGTTGGGTTTAACGCCGCTTTTAACAGTATTCCAGTTATATCACTGCGTGTCAGCTTAATGTGAGAGAAAAGCCCGAAGTGATGCAGGTCTCAGACGTTTACCACTTAGGTGAAACCCACGAACACGGGTATGGTGCTGACAAACCTAGAAACATAATCGGGCGAACCGGGATTCGAACCCACAATCATAGGTTTCTGGCGTGCCCAAGGGACGCAACTCTGCACAGCGAATCGCGGCGCCTTAGACGACGGGGCCACCTGTGCCCCTGGCTGCTTGAATTACATCCAATTTCCTTTCTGTTTATTGTGAACACGGACATGAACTTGCTGAACCATTAAGATCTTCGCAGGTTGTTTCAACTCATTCAAGTCTCAATGTTTATAAATGGATAAGATGTGAACTTACTTACCGACAACTTCAAAGTCGGTAGCTTTAAATGATTAAATGAATTCAAATGTTTGTAAGTCGGCTCAACCAGCCAGTCTAACCTCAAATTCTGAAGCATTTCTCGTGAAGTAACTTTAATTAATTTAAGTTTAAAGGTTTGCAAATAGACTAAACTGTGACCTTTATGACCTATCAACTCTAAAATTAGTAACTCAAAACCATCAGAGTCATCAAATTCCACACTACAAATAGTAGGTGCCCCTAGGCCTCCCATTTTTTAACAGCTGTATTCTTCCGATATCTGTTCTAGCTTAATGTTCAGCAACGGCTAAAACGGACAGGTCCTAAGAAGAGAGTGTAAATTAATTCAAGTTCACCACATTTCCTCTAAAACCAAAGAAGTCCACAGTTTGGTCGGATATTCTTCACATTTTTAGGGTTTCCGAAATGCTTGTCATCTTGCATCAGTCTTTGAGCAGTGCAGCCATTGAAAGACTTGTATGTTTTTGAGATGCTGAAACCCTTTTTGCTATCTTTCAACCTGTAGTTTCTTCACAGGAGTTTTTCGGCACCAAATTTCACGATCTAATTTCAACAATTTGAAATACCATGATCTTATTAATTCCTAATGCATTGACGTCACTTTTTCAGTGCTTTCAGAAATGAGTTTGCACTAAAAACAACTTTGTTCTCTTCTCAGTTTAGCCATACTGAAAATTGGAGTGTCAAAACCTTGCGAGGCATGAATATACTTCAACACCCTCGTGCTTTACCATTTATGAGTCTACAAAACAAGTCCTTTTTCTGAAGCCAGATAATTTGTAATCTATATGCGCAACCTTACTCTAATATTTATAACTACCGACCAATCAGTCAGCTTGTGAAAAGGCTAGCTTTTCATCGGATCCAACATGGATTCTATTGCCACACACATGTTACGATTTCTCATCCGCAGACAGGACCAAGAGGTGAAATGATGTTTAACGTCGCATTCAAATTATTGGACTCACATAGCGACATGCATGTAAGTGTGTGTGTCTGTTTGTTTGAACTAGACCTGTGAAGATCCAGGGTAGAATGGGTCTTCTGCAAAACATGTTTGCCCTAAAAGGCAACTATGCTTATCGTAAGAGGCGACTAACGGGATTGGGTGGTCAGGCTCGCTGACTTGGTTGATGCATGTCATCGATCCCAATTGCGTGGATCGATGATCATGATATCGATCACTGGATTGTCTGGTCCAGATTCGATTATTTACAGACCGCTGTCATGTAGCTGGAATATTACTGAGTGTGGCGTAAAACAACAAACAAACAAACAATGGCCTGTAAATAATCAAGTCTGGACCAGACAATCCACTGATTGACATCATGATAACGATAACCAACCAACTAGTCCAGGCTAATAATTAGGTCTTCTGGTGCTATGCCACTGAGATACAATGCCTCGGTTTTAACACGGATACCCCGCTCAGACACAGTATACTGACTCTGAGGCCAGTTCTTGTTTTATCCCCCTATCCTCTGGACCAGACCATCAAGTGATGCTGTCAGGGTACGTGACACGCTATCAACCAAGTCACCGAGACTGACCATCCGATCCATTAAGTTGCCTCTTCCGACCAGCATGGATGGCTGGAG